TGAAACTGATATTCAGACTGGCAACTTAGGATGCTTTCCAGAGGTAATTTGTCAGACCCACAAGAGAAAGCCCAATGCTCCCCATAAGGTGTGACGTTTCCCCTACTTAGGTAAATCAAGATTGAGCTCGGGTTTAGAGCTATGATATGAAACAGTCCTAAATATCCACAAAAGTGTAAGTATTAACCAGAGAAAAATCATTTTTTCTTTGTTTCTTTGAAATAACAAAACGTCCCCATCAGAGTCATCAAGCTGTCGACATCGTTTTTCACTCGGGCGAGGAAAAACAAGTATCGACTTGGGGGGTTTTTCTTTGAAAAGGTTTGGAAATATCAAGAGTCGCCACCAATCATTTTAAGGTGCGATTGGAACACCATAAAAACCGGGTGATTTTAATAGAACATTTTATTTTTATCAAAATACCAAGTTTTGAGGTATGTAAAAATCCAAAAATCAGGTTCGGGAGTTGGTTACGCGTGGGGAAGGATTAGCACCCTCCACAAGCGTCCAAAAATTGGTACCTAGTTGATTACCTCATATTTAGAATCGAAAATTTTGAGTTCGAAATTTATTTAATTAAAAAATCATTACGGATGCCAAGTTGAAAAGGGTATTTGTTTATTAAAGCCAATAGCATTCGTCGCTAGCATGAATGTGGAAGATCATCTATTGTAGCATATAATCGGACATTACCTTGATATTTTAGAAAATCATGATGCGAGCTTGAAAAGGATGTCGACCTATTTCGAGAATCACCTATAGGCACCCCCTAAGCATACTTGCGGTAGATATACTATTGACTCTCTAATAAGTTAACATTGCCTTAGGTTTTAAAATAAGATGCAATCAAACAATTTATTACTAACCCTAATTAAACTAAAGATATATTAAGGCTTATTTTAGCTTAAAGTGTCAAATTATGAAAATTAAAGAACACAGAGATATAAACCTAAAAATGTTGGCTCTAATATTATTCTTATTTGATTTTAATTAATTATTAAATCAAATAATCGAGATGGTTCCTTGAGCATTTAGCCGAAGGCCAACTCGAATTATTCCCTAAATTAAAAGGACTAAATTGAAATCATATCTAAAATGGAGGCTCTAATATTAATTTAAATTAATTTTATGATTTGAATAATTAAATTGGAATCTCGAGCAATAGCGAGGACCAAATTAAGAATTCACCTGATTTAAGGATTAAATCTAAAATAAAAACAATCTAGATTAGTACTAGAATATTCTAAATCTAAATTGAAAGGTTGAATAATTATATTTAAAATTGGGACTAAATGTAAAGAAATTTAAAATTAAAGGCAAAAGCTTAAAATTAATTACCAAGTAAAGGACTAAATATGAATTGAATAATTAAAAGGTTCTAGACTAAATCTAAAAAAATCTATCAAGGACTAAATTAAAATAATATAAATATTAAAGCCAATTAAATTATATAAAATGACTAAAATTAAAGTACTGAAAAATGAAGGGTAGAAATAAAATTAAAAATTAAAAGTAACAAAATTTAAGTACTGAAATTAAATAAATAAAAGTAATGGCATAAATTTGAATGTGCATAAAATAAAAAATCAAAAATAAAATAACAATAAAAATAAAATGTTAGTGTTAATTTTAATATGTAACTCGGACCGTAAATAATATGAGACGTACTCGGGGTGGGTCGTCACAAGGTCGTACTATGGGTCAACATAAAATAAATATATAAATAAAAAGTTAACGGTTACAAGTTAGTGGTTAACAGAGTCCGGATCGTAATAATGTGGATCATACTCTGGATCGGGTCACCACAAGGTTATATAATAATTCGAAAGTAAAATAAAATACATAAATAAAAAGTTAGCGGTTAAAAGTTAGCCTTTAGTGGTTAGATGTTAACATACTCCGGACCATAATAATGTGGATTGTACCTTGGATTGAGTCACTACAGGGTATAATAATTCAAACAAATTAATAAAAATTAACATTTAGAAGTAAATAGAGTCCGTACCATAATAATATGGATCATATCCCGAATCGGGTCACGACAAGGTCATATAATGATTAGGAGCGATAAAATAAAGTTAATGGTTAATAAATAAAACAAAACAAAATCGAATAAACATAAAACAACGTATAGAATTGAACATAATTAAATACTAATGGACATCGTAATAGAATATAAATGCAAGTAAATAAAACAACCAGCAGATGACCAGAATGCAATTAACACAAAATGATGCGTCAATTATAAAATAAACAGAAAGCCAGATGGTGATCGGAATGTAAAATATTGAAATTAATATGTGAAAATAAAAATAAAAAATAAAATTTGGTGACTAAAAACGGAAAATACAGCAATACTTTGGGGACTAAAAAATATTTATCATTTTTTAACTTTAATAATATCTAAGAAAACAAAAAGAAAAAAAAACATAGTTAGACCCTAAAAAATCAGAATAAAATTAAAATAACGCATAATCAGTGACTAAGATGCAAATATGCGGCTAAATTTTGGAGGATTGAAGTGTAGTTTTCCTCTTAAATAGGTAGCCATATTACAAAAGAGTACTAAATGAGGGGCCTAGGCGTGATTTACGCTTTTACACAAAACACAAAATATTCACCCTATCCATATCACGTAGCCCAGCCGAGAAGCTTACCAGGCTTCAACAACTCACTCGGTTGCCGCTCGCCAGCCCTCCCACGCCAGACATTGGAACAGTGACCAACCTACACCAACCGGCGATACCGACACGAGCGGAGGAGGATTGGCCGAACTACTTTAACCGGCGAAAAAACTCCCCGTTCCATTCCTATCTTACTCTTTCTCTTCCCCATTCAGCGGCCGAGAAGGCAAAAAAAGCGAGCCTCAACGTCGACCACCATGCCTTGGTGACCCCCTCACTCCCTCACGGTCGGCGTCAACCGAACGGAGAAGACCTAAACGACGTAAACCCCCGCCCCACGTTCGCTCATCACTCACAAAATCGAACCCCAAAAATGAAGCTTCAAACGTCAACCTCTTGGCCAAAACTCCCATACATTAGCCGGCCACCAACAACCGGTGTTTCTTGACTGTAAGTCGATCTCTCTTGCACGCTGGCCACCGCTCAACGGTGGCCACCCACCTATACTATGCTATCACGAAAACAGAAGAAGGAAAGAAAGAAAGAAATAAAGAAAGTCTGGAGAAGGAAAATGAAGAGCAAGTTACCTTTTTTTTTCTATTCTTTTCACAGATTTTGGGGAGAAAAAAGGGATATGATACATGGGTTGGTTGGGGTTATTATACCCCAACTACTACAATATTATATTGTTTTTTATAAATTATAAAATAATAAAAATGAAAATATATGATGGTTACAATGACCATGAGTGTATTTTACCCAAACAAATATTGTTTATTTTGATTAGGTGAAACTAAGACTTAAAAGCTACAACTATAAGGATTTCGTAGCCCATCAAAAATAATCTAGTTGCTGTCTTAAAGTAGTCATTCGGATTGCGCAAGTAGTTATCACTTGAATTTGTCTTTGTTAGTCGATCCACGCAACAATACTTCTTTACCACATTTTATTTATTTTAGGATAAACTATGTATTTACCCTAATTATCACTTTAGTTTCGTTTTGGTCACTTAACTATTTTCTTTAAAATCATGCCTAACGTTATGCTTTAGTTTTATTTTGGTCACTTATTGTTAAAAAATTAATGGTGATACTGACGTGACATGACATGCCAATTTTTTTAAATTTCCATGTCAGCATTGTCGTTCACTTTTTTAATGGCGAGTGACCAAAATGAAATTAAAATGTAACATTGGGAGTGGTTTTAAAAAAATTATTGAGTGACCAAAACGGAATTAAAGTGATAATTAAGGGTACAAAACATGTAGTTTACCCTTTATTTTATAATGAGAAGAGGATTATTTCTCTTATCAAAGTATCACATATATCTTTACAACATTATAAATTTTTGGAGTGCCACTAAGAAACTCTACAATTATTCTAAAGAATAATCAGTCTAGTATAATTATATATATAATTTCAATTTGATTTACATAAACCATTAATAACATTTTTGATACGATATTATTTTAAACGCAATCATATTTAATAAATATATAAATAATATTTTTTAAAGGGTTAGGATTCACTTACATAATATAATTTTTTTAATTTTATACAGATTTAGGGCTGTTAGATGAGTGAAAATAGATGATTGAGATTAACTCCTTTTTTTTTTACAGTGAACATCTTCTCATTTTCTAATATTAATCTTAGTTTTAAATATGTATAAAATTAAAAAAGTTTTATATTGTATAATAAGATTTTGCTTTTTATATAAATTGAATTAAAATCAAATTTGAGATATATATTTTAAAAAAATTGTCTACGTCTAATTAAAAATAAATAAATTCTCATATAAAAAACAGAATCAATGTATATTTTTGAAATTTAGTTTAATTTAATGAAAACATGTATCATCCAATCCTAGGGATGAGTGTTCGATCGAGTTAAGCTGAGTTAAAAATTTTTGAGTTATTCAATTGATGAATCTATTTTATAATTCAATCTTGTTTTTAAATTTTTTCAAATCGAATTGTTCGAATTTATATTTAAATTTAATTATAAATATTTATAATATTATGAAACTATTTTATTTCAATTTAAATGATTTTCTATAACTGTATACAATACATATATAGTTATTTATATTTTTTTTCATTTGTTATACATATATCATATAAGATCGAAGAATTCGAGTCAAACTTGAAAATCAATATACTAATTACTGAATTTTTTGAATTATTTGAGTTAATATTCGAATTATTCGAGTTTAAATTTTTTTAAATCAAATCGAGTTTTGCTCACCTATCCAATCTTATACGAAGCTTGAAAACCTAGTGAGCAATGCTTGAAGGAAAAGGCTCAATCTTCTAGAAGCAAAATTCTCCAATTCTGCACTTCAAAGCAACAAATCAAAATCTATAATCCAATCCCAATCCCAATCCCATCCTCAAATTAACTCATTAGTCTCTCTTAGAAACCAGAGTTATATGGCTCTCTCTTTGCTTTCCAAACTCTCCATTCTAACATTCACCGCATCAGTTTTCATAGTTTCATCTCTGGCTCATGATTTCTCCATTGTGGGATACTCACCAGAGCATTTGAGTTCCAGGGATAATCTTCTTCACCTCTTTGATTCATGGGTATCTAAGCATTCCAAATTTTATGACTCCATTGAAGACCAGCTGTTGAGGTTCGAGGTTTTCACAGATAACTTGAAGCATATAGACAAGAGGAACAAGGAACTCAGCAGCTATTGGCTTGGGTTGAACGAGTTCGCTGATTTAACACATGATGAGTTCAAGAACAAGTATTTAGGATTCAAACCAGACGTTTTCAGAAACAAGCAATCACCTAGAGAGTTCACTTATAGAGATTTTATTGATTTGCCCAAGTCTGTGGACTGGAGAAAGAAAGGAGCTGTTACTCAAGTCAAGAATCAACGTAACTGCGGTAATTTGTTAAACCAAAGGTTCGTAATTGCACTTTTCATGGCAGTTTTGGTTAAAAAAGAAACATGAATGCAGGTAGCTGTTGGGCTTTTTCAGCGGTGGCGGCTATTGAGGGCGTAAACAAGATTTTGACGGGGAACTTAACTTCGTTATCTGAACAAGAACTGATTGATTGCGATACGAGTTTCGACGACGGCTGCAATGGAGGTCTGATGGATTACGCATTCAAGTTCATCGTCACCAATGGTGGACTTCGCAAAGATGAAGACTACCCCTACCTTATGGAGCAAGGCATCTGTGAAGAAAAGAAGGTCCACCACGTACATGCATAAACAATTCAATGAAAGCTGCGTAACCTGTTTTGCAAGCAAGGGTTGATTGATTAATCATGTCTTTGATTGTTTCATATTCAGGAGCAAATGGAAGTGGTGACGATTAGTGGTTACCGTGACGTGCCTGAAAATGATGAGCAAAGTCTTTTGAAAGCACTGGCTCATCAACCAGTAAGTGTAGCCATAGAGGCTTCTGGCAGAGATTTCCAATTCTATAGTGGGGTAAGCTTCTTTTTAATATATTAATATATTGATAATGTATGTACAGAAACATAACTACTCGAACTCCGGTAGGAAAAACAACATTCTCTTTCTTTTACTTAAACTGGGTTTACAGGGAGTATTCGACGGGAAATGTGGAACGGACTTAGATCATGGAGTAGCAGCAATTGGGTATGGAACATCAAAGGGATCAGATTACATAATCGTAAAGAATTCGTGGGGGCAATCATGGGGAGAAAAAGGGTACATAAGGATGAAGAGGAACACTGGAAAACCTCAAGGCCTCTGTGGAATCAATAAAATGGCTTCGTATCCCACCAAGATGAAGTGATTATAATTTCTATCTACTAATAGTAAGCAAGGTTCAGCATCGAACAGCATAAAAATCCTTATTTTTAAGAGTATAAAAACCCTGTTTCATGTTAACTATGAACACAGCTCAAATTTGTATAATGATCAAATTGTCCAGGCAGGGATAGCTGGCAAAAAATCATCACAAATTGCGTACATATACATGCATAAACAGACGATAAATGGATGTATGATCGCTTCCCAGCAGTCAAATGGATCTCCAACCTACCATAGAAATGTCGAGTTACCTCTGTACTTACAGAGCTATAAGTTACCCCCAAGGACCAATCGGGTCTATCGCTATCCTTATGAGCGACAAAACACATCAGCGTGAGCGTCTAAAAGCTTATGCCACACGCATAGAGGACCCAACAGTCAAGGAGCCACGTATGCACCAGTCGCGACTCTGCGAAGGGATAAATGGTCAATCATCAACACAACTCATTTCTTCTCTAATCAGAAAATAGGCCTCCAGAAACCTACTAGCCTTCGTCAGGCTGGACACTATAAAAACTGTCAACACTCTAACAATCAACTATAGTGTATAGGTCACTTCAAAAAAAAAAAACTATAGTGTATAGACAAAATCTTTAATTGATTTAATAAAATGAAATTCAAAATCTGAATATCAATCTATCTAACCCATCAATCTGCTAATAATTATGATGACCTTACACTAAAACACACTGAAATAACCCCTCAACCCAATTAAAGAGGGGCTAACACATTTTACATTCATATTCATGATTAACTTTATGCTACAATGACTTTTTTTTACTGATCATAATTATCCATGAGTCAGAAGAGATGATAAGTTTGTTGTCATCAACCCTATGCAACAAGATGTATGACAACAATTATGATGATTTTGAATGAAATTCTTACTCTTTCAATCCTTTCTTCTCTACAACATTCTCGAAATTCTTCAATTTATACAACAATTCCACCATTTCACATTTAAACTGGGATGGTAAAAAGAACTTCAATCAAAAGCGGTTAAATGTTAGGTTTTCTTCTACCTTTATCACCCATACACTTATTATTTTCTATTTCCATCTATAAATTCACAGTTTTAATGAAATTTGAACTCAAGATCGGTCATTGTGTATATGACTGTCACTAATTAAGGATGTGAATAAGATGAGATAGATCGTAAGTTACTTAAGATTGATTCATTTAAAACTTGATAAATGCTCAATTTTGAATGGATTCGACTCGAGTTCGAGCTCAAATCGATTTCTTCACGAGCCGAAATGAGTTGTTTGATACTCGACTTAAAAATGTCGCAAGCAAATCGAAAAAATAGTACATTAAAATTTTATTTTATAAAAATTAAATTATTAATAATATTAAAATTTATGTGTTTTTTTAAATGTAATATAAGATTTTCATATATTTAAAGTTCGAGTTCGAGTTTCAACTTTAATCGAGTTAATTTAATAATTTTTTATTTCAAGTTTTTTCGAACTTCAATTTCTAATTTCGAGTTTTAGTCAAACTTAAAAATATTAATCTCACAAATTTTTAAACTAAATCAAATTCTATTTTAAAATTTTTAAATTAAATCAAACTCAATAACAGTCAAACTAGACTCGGCTCCTTTACGACCCTACATGCTAATGAGAGCTTCACAACAGTCAAAGGGCCCCTATTTTTTTCACCGTGAAGTCCATCACCTCTTTCTTTTGGTTGCATAAAAAGACGAGAAATGGATGTATCTTGACTTTATTTGCACAAACAAATCTAATTATGTTATTAGGATTCTTAATTATTTTAGTATAATCATATTTATTGATTAATTAATTTTAATAAAGTATTGATAAAGAAATGATAATATTATTAACTGCTTTATTTATAAACACCAATTTTTTAATATTTAACTTTACTTAAAAGATCTAATGACTTATTATATTAAACATATTAAACTAATTGATAGTTGGTATTAAGATTCTTAATTTAAATTTTACTCTTTTGTTTTTCTTATTCCCTCAAGACTTTCCGCCTTTCCTGTCTGCCACCACCACTTAAACCCTTATGGCCCTTTCATCTGTACCAAAATGCAGCCTTCTCTCTCTCATTTTCCACTACAAACAAAACAATATATGAAATTGGGACAAAAAAGAAACATACGTTGTTTTGTTTTCCATACGTAGACAAATACACATATTTTAAATCAGAAATTTAAATTGCAATTGTGGTTAGTTTTTTATATTGTTATGTTTATTGCTATTACAGTCATAACATAGGTTGTTGCGTTCATTTTGAGTATTGAAGCATACAATGACGGTATCGCTACCATTATTCGATAGTGGGGTGCTATTTAAATAGCTGGTTTAAACTGTTTTGGGGTACAACCCCATAATGTGAACTAAGGACTTCCAAATCCTGCTTGTCCTTTTGCCTAACTTCGAAATTATGTATTGGAATGCGGTTTCCACCCTACTACCAGGGGTTTGAGGTCCTTTCCTAAGGGAAGAAGGCTTTCTTTAATTACCCTTCTCACAACAATCCCAATTATTCGATAGTGGGGTGCTATTTAAATAGCTGGTTTAAACTGTTTTGGGGTACAACCCATAATGTGAACTAAGGACTTCCAAATCCTGCTTGTCCTTTTGCCTAACTTCGAAATTATGTACTTGGAATGCGGTTTCCACCTATACTACCAGGGGTTTGAGGTCCTTTCCTAAGGGAAGAAGGCTTTCTTTAATTACCCAGGCCATTCCCAAGGATGAACAATGGAAGTCAGCTTCTGCAACATATACCAAAGAAACAGATGGATCCATCGTCACAGGTACTTTCTTTCTAACAATTCTCTAATTTCATATTGGCCCTTAAATATCTTTCACTGGCCTCATCTTGCAGAAGGAGCTTGTGGTTATGGGGACCTTCATAAGGCCAGCTTTGGGAAATACAGTGCTGGACTAAGCACCATGTTGTTCAACAAAGGGAGCACATGTGGAGCTTGCTTTGAGATCAGATGTGTTGACCACATCTTATGGTGTCTCCAAGGGAGCCCTTCCGTCATTCTCACCGCTACCGACTTTTGTCCGCCGAATTACGGTCTTTCGTCCGATTACGGTGGTTGGTGTAACTTCCCCAAGGAACACTTTGAGATGTCTGAGGCTGCATTTGCTGAAATTGCAGAGAAAAGAGCTGATACTGTGCCTGTTCAGTATAAGAGGTAAAAACATGTTCAAACTAAACAACACTTTTTGGCACATGAAGGGAACAGAAATGAATGAAATGAGTGTTTGATGTGTAGGGTGAAGTGTGAAAGGAGGGGTGGGATTAGATTCCGCATGAGTGGCAGTGCTCACTTCTTTCAGGTGCTGATTACCAATGTGGGATTGGGTGGGGAAGTGGTGGGAGTCAAAGTGAAGGGCTCTAAAACAGGGTGGATACCAATGGCCAGGAACTGGGGACAGAACTGGCACTGCAACATTAATCTTATCGGACAACCGCTCTCTTTCGAGGTGACGGCGAGTTCCGGCCGGACGGTTGCGTCTTACGGTGTTGCACCGTCGAATTGGCAGTTTGATGGGACGTATGAAGGGAAACAATTCAAGTAAGGGAACTCTCTCTATATATTGAGATTTTAATGTACTGAAAAGATGGTAAGAGAACCATTGTTTACAGCAGTAACCTCATCTTCATCCCCTCTTAGCTGCCTATGCAGTGGTGAACAGAGTTTTTGGTGCTTTGGAAGACAACTTTTATACATTGTTATTTTTGGGAGATGAATTTATTTTACGGAATTTGGTTTTCGTGAAACAAACATATCAGCTTCAATTACGCAATTCAGCCTCTACTTTTTTTTTAAACTCAAAGCGTACAACTTTGAAAGCGGCCTGCAGATGAGAAATCGACCAACCAATTTATTAATTATTTTAATTAAAACACTAAGAGTTGAATAAAATAAAAATCAACCCAACAATAAAATTAAGCTTCATGGGAAATCAACCTCAATCGATCCAAGAACATACTTGTTCTCTTTAAGCTTCATCCTGCACCAATTTGCCCCACCTTATTCGGTACATATCAAACTTTCAGATTCGAAATTATAATTGTAAGAAAAATATTGTAACATCTATAGATTCTCAAACTGGAATTCTTTTAACTTAGATGATCAAAAAAGCATTCTATGGATTAATTTATTAAATTTAATTATCGAGAAGTGTGTTTTATTCAATTAAGTCAATACGATAAAAAGAAAGTTCGATTTGGGATTAAATTGAAAATCGAAAAGTGAAAACGGAAATTTGAGGACCAAAGTGTAAAGAAAGAAAATGTTGCACAGCAATTATCCCAAAATTTCCATTTAGTGGAAAATGAAGAAAATGGAAATTTAAGTGTCAAGTATATATAGTATCGAATTTAGTATTTTTTTTTTCTAATACAGAAACAACTAGAAGTTAACTAGGCCCTTTTACAGAATAGCATTCAGATCCTTCGACGGCACCATGAACTCAATTACACCAATGTCAGCACCACGACTCAATGCAGCCAGCCAATCAATCTACAACAGCGTTCTGCTCTGGACGGACATGCCATATCTTTGTAACCCAATCACGATCTCGAAATTCATATATGTCATCTACCAATGCACTTCCCTATAATTTAGTATTTTGATGATTAATAAGTGAGTTTATAATTTATTTTTATTGATTCTTTTAAATATGTTTGCATCAAAATATGTTTATGACCAATTTTCAAATAATATGTCAATATGGCTAAGGAAATGAGAAAATCTGAATTTATCGAATAATATGTCAATTCAAGAAATATCATAAGCTCAAATTAGATGATTTTAATTAAAATTGAGTATGTTTATGTTTAATACTTTGTTTGAATTTGACTTCAGTATGGCATAAATTGCTAAAATGTGATTTTGGTTCGAGCAATTAAATAGCATATATGATGTTAAGTTTTGCTATTGAATATTTCAATATGATTCTTTTATGTTTTGATATGTTCAAACATGCCAGTATATATGTGAAATGTGAAAATGTGTTAATTACAATGTTTGATAAGTCTTGTCATTGGTAAGAAGAACGAGAGGGTCTTTTGTCTCTCTTATTACGACAAAGGCATCTCTACACTCATAGTTGCAACAGAGAAATTCTTGTTGTTGAGCGGAGGCAT